GTGAGAGGCCAGGCCAGGACAGGTATGGGTATATAAATGGCCTGGAGCGAAAGTGAGTTACTACGTTAGAGTTGGAGTGGGAGCGGTGGGCTGCCGGGAGCTGAGAGAATGAGCTGGGGCTTAGACCCGGGAACAGGCAGGGGAGATGAGAGAGTCCCGCCTGGACTGGCAGAGAGATGAGGAGCGAGCCGCGCCCGGACAGAGCCGGTGATATACGTCCGGGCCGCACTGCGCGAGCCGGTCCGGCGGACAGCGCGCCAGGTGGGCTGCAGGACCGACAGCGCCACTACCCAGATGGTGCACTTAGTGCTGAGATACGCGCCCGGTGGTGTCAGAGAAACTGCCAAAGACAGCGGACCAGCACCACACCAAGGTGACAGACCATGGATCAGCAGACCCATCAGAGAAGCAGGATCGATGGATAGTGGGTACGAACTCGTGCACGATTAAAATCAAACTATCAAACCTGGTAACATCAGACGATATTGATAACCCTGAAAAAAAAAACAGACAGCACGCAGCTCACTGTGACATATTGGGGTGACAAAATACATTGCGACATCCGACAACGGAACAGCACTCCAGCGGCCAGCCCTTTTTCTACCTGACAGACGGGGACAGTTCATACCCACCAGACGGGTATGGACAGCTCCTTTCTGACAGACGGGTATGGACAGCTCCTTTCTGACAGACGGGTATGGACAGCTCCTTTCTGACAGACGGGTATGGGAGACAGTTTCTACCTGACAAGCGGGTGGGACAGGCAGCTCTTACCCGACAAATGGGTATGGGGAACAGTTCCTACCTGACAGACGGGTATAGGAGACAGTTCCTACCTGACAAGACGGTATGACGGATAATTCCTACCTGACATGGTATGACGGTCAGTTCCTACCTGACAGACGGTATGACGGTCAGTTCCTACCTGACAGACGGTATGACGGTCATTTCCTACCTGACACGGTATGACGGTCAGTTCCTACCTGACAGACGGTATGACGGTCAGTTCCTACCTGACAGACGGTATGACGGTCAGTTCCTACCTGGCAGACGGGTATGGGGACAGTTTCTACCCGATGGACGGGTATGGGGGAACTTCATACCCGGCAGACGGGTATGGGGGACACGTCCTACCCGACCGACGGGTATGGGGGACAGTTCCTACCTGACAAGACGGTATGACGGATAATTCCTACCTGACAGACGGGTATGACGGTCGGCTTGCAGCCGCAGAACACACTCAGCGGCAGGAAGGAGCACATGAGCCGGTCAGTGATGGCCCACAGGCCGGGCTCGGCGCTGGCCATGGCGGCCCGGCCGGTCGCCGCCGCTCATGGGGCCCGCCGCCGGCCGGCCGCCGCGCCCATGGCCGTCGCCGCAGCGTGACCCGGCAGAGCTACTGTCCCCGTCCGCCGTCCACCGGCCGCAGCACCGACCAGAAGCCGCCCAACGCCCGCGCCGGGTCAGCGCGCCGGTCACCGGGCTGGGTCCGCCGGGCCGGGTCACTCACACGGCGGCTGGATCACCCGCCACCCACCGACACTACACAGACACCGCCGGGATCAGCCCTACCGCCCCGCGCCGCTCAGCACCGCCCACCCTCACCGGGCCCGCACACACACTGCCGGCGGCCAGCCGACCCGACCCGAGCTGACCGCGCCGCGGGGACCTGACCTGACGGCGCCGCGGTCACACCCGGCCGCCACGCCCCCGGCCGCGTCCGCCCGCCGCCGGCCGATCTGGGTTACTGAGTGCGCCGGCGGCGGCGGCGGCGGCCGACAATTGATCGTCGGCACCGTCGCGGCGCCGACGGCGGCCTCGGTGCGTCGCGTCTCAGTGCTGGCCGAGGTCAGCGGCGGCGCGGCCAGTCCCTGACAGTGGGTCGGCGGGGACGGCTGCCCGGGGCCGGAGCGTCATACGGAGGGCCCCAGAGACCAGTCTCAGAGCTCGGCGCCACTATCAAATGAATCCCCGGAGCAGGAACGCAGACGGATTAAGGCGGATAACTGCTCGGCTGAGACTGACGTTCTGAGGACGAGTGCTAATCCGGTGCGTAATAGACAAAGCCACCTCCCAGCCTCTCAGTGCAGTGGGCTGGGCGCTGTAGAGACGGGAGCGGAAGCAGTGTTTCCGCTCCAACTGTTACAGCTGGAGCGGACGGCGCAGAAGATGGCCCGGCGTCCCTGTGCGAGTCATTTGAAGCTAGCAACAATGCTGTGCATTCTGCTATTCCTTCTGGAAGAACAGGCACGTCCCGTTCCCCGACAGCGGACACAATTTCCACACTGTCACGAGCAGCCTCCGCAGACAGCAATTCCTCCGCACGCACATCTCCCACAGCAATGACAACAGACTGGATAACAGCCATATCTGACAGAGACGGCAACCATCTGGATACCACTGCTATCGTTTCCTATGGAAATGACAACAGTCTGGACAACAGCGCTATCGTCCCCGATATCATACTGGATAACAGCGTTATCGTCCCCTACAACGACCTGGACAAGAGCCGGTATAATCTCGGACTGAGATGGTAACACCAATGCCATGGTCCCAGGCTGCGAGTAGCAACACTGCGGCGCTGGAGCGCGAGCCCAACTGATCGTCGAACAGGGGCGCGTTCTGCCGCTCGTCAGCAGCTAGGCCCGTGAGCCTCCGATTCCAGTGTCATTGGCTCGGGATACCCCGCTCTGACCACAGGGCCATTGGCCCGGGACACTCCGTTCCGACCAGAGGGCGACCGGCCCGTTGACTCACTGGGATACCACTACAAACGCACGCCACCAAGCCGACTGGCGGTGACTCGTGAGCCCCTGGGCCACAGCCAGCCGCGGCTAGAGGGAGGTGCGGCGGCCAGCGGTCCCCTCGGCCACACCAGCCGCGGCTACAGGGAGCTGCCGCCGCAGCGTCAATCGCCGGCGCTTTACAGAACAATGAATGTGCGACTGGTCCCAATGGGTCATGCTGAGCCCGAGGGGTGGGTGTGAGAGCCGCGGCCGTACAGCCGGCCCCGTCTGCAGCAGGCGGCGGGTGCGGCGGCCGTACAGCCGGCGGGTGCGGCGGGCCGACCGCCGGCGCAGCCTGCAGGTGGCACGCGGATGCGTGTGCGTGTGTGGGCCGCCGGTGGCCGGTTGGGCGGCCAAAGAAAACGGCGCGTGCGGCGGTGACAGCGCCGTGTCGCGGAGGAGGAGGGACGGCGGCGACGTGCCGTCAGCGGCCGAGACTCGCCACCTGGGAGGACGCCCGGCCGACCGACGCCGGGTCACAGCTCAGACCGGCGGACTGGCGCGGGGTCACAGTCACAGACCGGCGGACTGACGCGGGGTCACAGTCACAGACCGGCGGACTGGCGCGGGGTCACCGCGGCCGCAGACCGGTGCAGGCACACTACACAAACACAGTCAGGCACCTGCTCACAGGAATCCAAACAGACCAGTGCTGCTCTTACAAGCACAAACACAGCGCCTGACACAACAGAACACAAACTTCCGAGTACTGATATGCACACAATCACAGACACACATCATGACTGCTAGGTTGTGCATGTACGAAAACACTTAAGCATACTTGAATTCGAGAACACAGATGCCTGCATGCAGTGCTGCTGTAGCATTGTATAAACACTAACAGTTCCAGTGTCTACGAGCTCAAATGGCAATGAGGAACCCAAGTGACGTATGAGTACACTCACAGTTGTGCCAAACAACGATAAACCAGAAACGACACAACCGAGATACCATTCAATCACAAGCATCTGTGAGACATCCCTTCCAAAAATGGAACCAAATCAGCAACGGAGCCGGCGAAAGACAGCTTCTGTATCTCAGGCTTTTGGGATGACCTTTCTATCGTACCTATCTACATAGCTGTCGCCAGGACGGGACTCATACTCGACGGAGATGCAGCTCCGCAAAGGGTATATCTGTGTCAGAGGGACAAAGGGGCCGCACAGCCCAGATAGCACCGCCAGCCGCCGCCGCCAGCCGGCCGGATATGGGCCATTTCCGGTGTCATGGAGCGCGCGCGCCAAGGTCGCGGTCGCCGAGGAAGCAGCCACTTGTCTCCGAGAGAGCGGCGCGGTTTATCAATGAGCTATCTGTCGGCGCTCTGGGCTGCCGTCAGGGCCGTAACGGCGGGAGTTGCTCCTCATCGACCAGAGAGCTATCACCAGCCACACAGCTAACACCACCAGAAAACGGACGGAGGACGCCGCGTCCCAACGCCTCTCAGCTTATTGTTCAGGCTTATTGGATCGACAATGTCTTTCAACAAGAAGTCCAGAAGGCCACAAACACGGGGTGATATAATACTTACACATGAACAACAGCCACCGAACAGTCTAGTATCTTACCGCCTATCGTCGAGCAGGCAAACAAACCACCATGACATCATAGCAGCAGTGACAACAGCGAACCAAATCCTCCAGGGTCAAACTAGTGCCATTGTTTACTTCAGGGACTTATGCTGACTTGAGCGCTGACCCGGAATAGCGCACTGCGCAGCGATTTACGCCCTTTAAAAATCATGGTTGTATCGTTGTTAAAAAGGGGCTGCAAAAGCAGCACTTTTATTCAGGATGGTTGCACCGTTTGTACATTGGACGTTTAAGGATGCCCTTGGCCCATGTGAGATACAGGAAATCGCATGCATAAATTGAAAGTAAGGCGTACAGTGTGCGGCGAACTCTTTCCTCTTTTCAGCCGCGCCCTAAACAGCCGGGGTGGAAACATTCTATGGGTGAATAATTGCATTCAAAATGGGAGGAAAATCAACCACAACTTAACCATTCCGCGCTAATTAATCACTCAGCATAAAACAAAACAAATGACCCAGGAAAAAAAGGTGGGATTTGGATGACTAAAGGAGGCATTGTAAGCCGGTACCACATGATGTCAGCAGAAGACGCGGCTGGTCTAGTCGCGCAGTCAGCCCAGCGGACCCATTGTGCAGACTAAGCAGAGGGACCCGCCCCTCCCCGGGCGGCGCCGCGCCCCACTGACCTGTGAGACGTATTTGGGGTCGATGTCGGATAGTTCGCGCGCCCGCCGACAGAGGGGAGTGGTGGCGGTGGACGGCGGCGAGGCGGCCGTGGTGACGGGCGCGGCGGCCAGCGCCGCCAGGCCGCTCCGCTCCCCCAGACAGGGCGTCTGCGACCTGTGGACAGCGCCGGACACTGTCAGACGGGGGGACAGGTCCATACACACACAGAGACACGGCGTGTACCACCTGCAGATAGCGCCGGACATTGTCAGACGGGGGGACAGGTCCATACACACACAGAGACACGGCGTGTACCACCTGCAGATAGCGCCGGACATTGTCAGACGGGGGGACAGGTCCATACACACACAGAGACACGGCGTGTGCCACCTGCAGATAGCGCCGGACATTGTCAGACGGGGGGACAGGTCCATACACACACAGAGACACGGCGTGTGCCACCTGCAGATAGCGCCGGACATTGTCAGACGGGGGGACAGGTCCATACACACACAGAGACACGGCGTGTGCCACCTGCAGATAGCGCCGGACATTGTCAGACGGGGGGGACAGGTCCATACACACACAGAGACACGGCGTGTGCCACCTGCAGATAGCGCCGGACATTGTCAGACGGGGGGACAGGTCCATACACACACAGAGACACGGCGTGTGCCACCTGCAGATAGCGCCGGACATTGTCAGACGGGGGGACAGGTCCATACACACACAGAGACACGGCGTGTGCCACCTGCAGATAGCGCCGGACATTGTCAGACGGGGGGACAGGTCCATACACACACAGAGACACGGCGTGTGCCACCTGCAGATAGCGCCGGACATTGTCAGACGGGGGGACAGGTCCATACACACACAGACAGGGAGTCTGCGACCTGCCAACAGCGCGGCCGACACTGTCAGAAGAGCGCAGAATACAACCATGACAGAAGGGTGGGGAGCAGGCCCACACACACACGAAGCCTGCGACCTGCGGACGGCGCAGACAGAATTCTGTCAGATCACACCGCAGACCCACTGCGGCAGCGGTGCCAGTAGAATATGCGAGTCAAAAAACACCATTCGATGGTCATCATTCTCAGAGCACACAACACAACGCACAGCGGCAGTGGCAACATCCACAGCCGACAGAAAACAGCCAGGCAGAGGCTCACGAGTCACAAAGCTGCGCTCATGGACTGGCGGCCAGAGGTCCACCGGACAGCGCCGTCCTGGACATGCGGCCGAGCCAGCACCTACAAAAACGGGCGGCTGGTCGTCCCACACACCCGCCTGGTCCATGTAATTACCAATGTTCTGGCAGTCGTACTGGCGTCGGGATGTGTCAGGGAGAGGCGCCGACGGCAGCGATGGGAGAGAGTAGAGGGAACAGAGAGCGTCGCGGGTGATTATCTAATCATTCAGGGACCTGGTACCGCGCCCACAGCAGCACGTCATGTCGTTCCGGCTGGTATGGTGCTTCTGAACAGCCTCGGCGAGCGATAAGACACAGCCTGACTGAGAAAAACCAGATAGTATCGCATCAGACAACAGCATATCGTCAAAAACACACCGTGGAATGGCTCGAGAGTAAAATCCTTTTCTTCACATGCGATTAGAGGTATACGATTGGTGTTCAATGTGTTCGCTGACACAGCAAAGCCGAGTGGTGTGCACTGAGCGTCTCAGCTATCTCTGGACCAGGACGGTAGCCCTAGCCCAGGAGGACAGGGGACGACGGCCATTGCCGGGCCAGCGCTGGCCCGGCTGCCGAGAGAGGTCACCTTCTCAGGCTGGCCACAGCCGAGTCACGGGGCCCGGGGCGAGCGGTGCTACCGGCACACGGCGCTCCCGTGAGACGGTATCCACGCCAGGTCACCGTCCCACTGCCGATCACCACAGACACCACCACCACATAAACACCAGGCCACAGGTCACTACAGGAGGGCCAGTACACCACTGCGGCAGCGCAGTCACCAGCCGCCGTCCACACAAACACAGCCAGTCAGCCGGCCGGTCAGTCAGACGCCACAAACACCAGAGTGACCGCGGCCGGCGGCGGGCGCGAACTATGGCACACGGATGGAGCCGCTCCGACGCTCCATACCCGCCCTGGCGCGGCGGGCGGCCACTTCAGACGGTCGGCGGCCGGGGCAAAAAGGCGGCCCGGCCACAGCTGATCGGCCGCCTCAGCCGCGATTATTGTCTGAGTCACACTGGCCGCGTCAGCTGAGCCGGGCGGACGGACGGACGTCACAGCGGCTGGGGAAGCCGGTCAGCGGCACACTCACAAACAGAAGCGCCTGCGGTTAGAGCTGTTACGCGGATAACGGGGAGGAGCACCCCCGGGGCAGCAGCACCAGCGGCAGCAGAGCAGCAGCAGCGCACCAGCGATGACGAGCAGCCGGGCTCATGCATGTTAGCCGGTGTCCATTCAGAGCTACAGTGCAGCTCCTGGGGTCGGTGCCAGTCACCTCTGTAGCACGGATGTCGGTCGGGGGCCGACCCGTCTCCTGGTGCCGGCCGCTGTGGAACAGGACGACCGCCGAGGTCCCTCAGTGGGATCAGCCGGCCGCCGGGGCCGCCTCCCAGGGCACTGCCGGGAGGAATCCTGGCGACACCTCTCCCATCGGTACCGCGTCAGTACCGTGAGGAGGTCCGCGGCTCCCTCCAGCCGGCCTATAACGTCCTCCAGCCGGCCCACAGCGCCCTCCAGCTGGCCTATAACGTTCTCCAGCCGGCTCACAGCACCCTCCAGCCGGGCTATGAGCCACTCCAGCCGGCCTGCCGCGTCATCCGTCTCTGGTCGCTGTGGGACGGCCTGCTCCCTGTCCCGGCCCGGGGCTGGCGCCGGGGCGGAGGCTGTGACCGGGGCGGAGTCTGGAACGGGAGCAGAGGTCGCCGGAGTGCGCCCGCCGCCTCTGTCCACCGGTGGCGGGGACAGGGAGCCGGTGACCGCCAGCCGCCGCCTCTTGGTGGCCCGCTGCGGCCGCTCGGCGGCTCTGGCCGGGTCGCAGACGGACCGGCGCTTCCCGGCCCGTCCCACGCACGCCCTCAGCATCGTCTCTCGGATGCGGAGGGGTGTTGGGGGATGGCGCCGCCGACCGCCGCGCCGTCAGCTGTGACCGCGCCGCGCCGGACCCGGTCCCATGGCTCCGGCCGGGTCAGCTGGGTCCCGCCGAGCCGGCTACTGGGGAAAAGGTCACCACTCCGGCGCCAGGTCAGGTCACTGCGCCACCACTGCACTGTCGCGCCCCGTCCAGGTCGTGTCCGAGCCGCGAGCCGGTGTCCTCCCTCCACCACTGCCGAGAGCCGACTGCGCTAACTATTTTCATCTGTGCTCCTAGGAGCTGCCAAGATTCGTCTGGAGTTCACCTGTCCATTAATCTCTCTCAGCTGAGCGCCAATGACGACCGGCCGACGGGCTCAAAGGACCACCGGGCTCCTGAAAACGGAGCTGCGCCTACTGACCCCTATTCCGGCGGGCCGCTTTGATGCGTGAGCGGGTGGCGGCGGCGGGCGAGCACCGGCCGGCCGGGGCCCTGGAGTGGTGCCCGGGACGTCATCGGGGGCGGCGTCACGTCCGGCGGCCGCTGCCAACCGCCGCCGCCGCCGCCGCCGTCCGTCATCGGTCAGAGAGGCCCGGCCGGCGGCAGCGGGGTAGTCAATAGTCATAGTGCCTCTCGAGTCTCGGTGGGGACACGGTCCAGGTACGGTATCACTGCGGTATGCCACAGAACGGCCTCGGAGCGCCGGAGCCGACCGCGGCCCCTTCCGTGCACGAAACCTGACCTGATGTGTGGTGTAATATAGCTCTTAATTATGTTGCCAGCGCCTCCCGCCGGTGTTCTCCATCCGACACGGAGCCCACCGACCAGCTGTCTCACGCCGTCACTCGTCAGTCACATCCCCATCAGATCGCGGCAGCTCAGTCACCAGAACACTGATATCCTTCCGCCTCAATCAGCGCGGCCCTGTAGTGAGTAGCCACTGACGGGTAACCGGTAGGGTTGTACGAATCGAGGTCGGTGGGAAACTGGGGCACCGACCTAGTGACAATGATCCCTCTCTTCCCCTTCTACCGCCTTCCGGTCAGCGTGATGAGATCAAACACCCGTGTCTCTAAGCGCACCGTCCGCCGTGACGGCAGCCCAGGCCGACCCAGTCAACCCCGGGCCCGGGGAGGTCACCTTCGGGCCCGGGGAGGTCGCCCTCGGACACGGGCAGGGTCACCCTCGGAGGCAAACAGGGTCACCATCTGTCTCATCCCGTTCCAGCCATTATCCCCGGAGCATCCCGGCCGCAGTGATCTATCTGGACGGCGTGATCCGGGGACCGGTCGACCGTGGCGCGCACCGTTCCACCCTGCCGGTCACCGGTCAAATGGACGGTGAAATTCGACCCGACCGGCCGCAGACCCAGACCGGCCACAGGCCAATGGGCGCATCGCTCACTGTCGCACCCGGACTCTTTGAAGGGCTCGCCGCAAATGAGCACCGCGACTAAAATCAACAACAGCCTCATGCGTGCGCGCCAAGAGCGACAGAGCGCGTCTGTACGGCCGCGCCGTCAGCCCTCTGACCGGTGAGTCTCTGATGGATCGCACGTGACTCGCCGGCCGGCCGTCGTCACCTGCGTCTAATTCAGCGCGGCCCGCGCCACCGCCCGACCACACGTGAGTCTGTGCACGGCGCCGCAGCTCGGCGGGCCACCGGAACCACCATGGAGGGATCGATCCAGACCGGGCTGACGGCGGACCGCGACCACCACGCCATCTGCACACCAGCCAGCAAACTACAGTTTACGTTTCCGCCCACAGGTGGCGGTCAGGTGAGCAGCGCTTCAGCGAGATCCTTTTTCACCGCGAGGCGCACGCGGTCGTCAATCAAACAAATACGAAAACAATGCCGTAAATCCGCCGAGCGCCGCCAGCGCCCGGCGTGGCAGACGGGTGAGTGAGCGGTGCGGCTCCGTCTGAGACGGGATGGGGACGGGGTAGGTCGGTAACTACGCCGCCGCCGCCGGACCACTGCGGGACAGATACATCACACATGGAACTGTATCTAATCACAGGACCAGTGCAGACCCTCACAATTGCTCTCTCCCTGTCGCGGAGGGCAGTCAGACTGAGACAGGGTCTAGAATTAGTGGGCTAGAATGGGAGGAGAAAGCGTCATGAGGCGAGGGGTCGAGGTCAGGTCAACAATGGGTCGTCTGATGAATGATGTTTGACTAACCAAGTCGCGTATCTCGACTCAACATGCTAGTTACCTAAATGCTGTGCAATTATCAGAGCGGCAAGGTAGCCTAGTCTCAGGCAGCTCAACGTAGCAGAGCTGCCATGAACAGATGTCATGGACAGCTGACACGGAGTCGGGAGTTGGTGTGACTTCATAGAGCACTGGTGACACAGCAAGCACGGACCGTTACCAGTCGAAAGGTAACCAGATAGTTAGACAGCCACTTAGCCAGCCGGAGCCAGCCAGCCAGCTAGCCAACCAGTTACCAGCCACTCCGGCAGCCGGGTCGGTCCCAGCCGCGCGCGGCATTCCCTTTTCCAACTCTGCGCCTGTCGCGTTCCCACCACAGCACACCCAGTCGGCGGCTCCGGGGGCTGTCAGATCGCATATGTCATCCCTCGGCTGTACGGCGGGGCGGGCCGGGCGGCTGCGGGCTGGAGCCGAATCTACCAGCGCCCCCGCCGGCCGTCTGGGAGGGGGGTAGGGGCCCCCTACCCCCTCCCAGACGGCTGACGCCAGTCCGCGTCTGAAGGGCTGAATCTACCACAGCGGCCGTCTCTACTAATCCGCCCTATCACGGAGCTGTCGGCCGAGTCCGTGTGATTCAGCCGTCAGAGACGGCGCCGGGCATCGGCCGACGTGGGACGGCACGGCGCCGAAGGACGGGTAAAATAGACGCCTCATAAGGCGACGTAGCGACGAAACGATGACTGGTCAGAGCTCCGACATGGCGCGACATTCACAATCGACACATCTGACCTCGGCTGCTCCCCGCGGTCAGCATTGCTCGGTGTTTGAACTGATCGGCGGCACTCGTTCCGGCCATCCTCCTCTGGCTCCGTTTGGTCATCTCCAATCAAAGCCTCAATCACGACCCTCCCACATCCTGCGCCGTCACTGGCACGCCCCTCCCCTCTGCCGGACTGGGTCCCCCCTCCCCCCTACTGTCCGACACCCTATCGGCGGCCATCGGCAGGCAGTGTGGCTCCAGTGGCACAACACACTGCTCTTCTACGGCCGCTGGCTGTTGTGGTGCCCACTGCCCAGCCGCCACGGTCCTTCCCGTGAACTGATCGCGCACGGAGACAACTGTCCAGTGTCCATCTGCCCACACGGAGCTGGTCGCACAGAGCTCTTCCCACAGAGCCGCCCGTCAAGAACTGTTCAGATCGGAACCTCAACACCGCTGCTGCACTGAACAGCACGGCACACCAGCCAGCGTGTCCAGCGTGTTCCGTTGCGCCGGTGCAGTGACGGGAGCGGCGCGGGGTGATTCCTCGGCGATGGGGGCAAACGATCACTGCACGCCGCACAGACAGTCACCGAGCAGTCAGACGGCCACTGAACGCTGAACAGTGGACAGCGAAAGGTGGACATTCACCACATCAGGCTGTCACCTGACCCGTCTGCCGCGGCCAGCTACCACCACAAATAACAGTGGCTGCAGGAGCCATTCGGCCGCCAGCCGCCAGTACAGTTATCGTCGCAGCCGCCCTCCGCTGTATCTGCTCCGCCAACAGATCCGCTCTCCACTCTCTCCGCAGGTCCGCCCAGATTTCCCTCCGATACGGCCCACTGAGTAATTGAAACCGCTCCCGGTAGACGCGTTTTCCCTCCTCAGCTTAATGCATTTATTGAATCACAGCACACAGGCCAGCGCTGATGTCGATCCAGGAAAAGTAGCCTCTCAATGAGTCAAGCCAGCGCTGGTTTTGTCCAGCAATAGCGTAATTACTCACTTTCGAACCGCCCTCGGGATAGCGGCCTGGGATGGACGGCGCCGCTGCGGCCGCGGGTCGCGGACCCAGTCACCTCTGCAGAGCCACCGGTACCGTCTACCCCGGCCGCTGCGAGCGCCGACCGCCGGGTCACGGGCCATCCACCTCCTCAGGGCCGCCGGTACCGGTTCACACGGCGCCGCGCAGCCCGCCGGCAAATAGAGCAGCCCTGTCCACGGAAACCGGAGCTGAGGTCCGCCACACGACCGGCCCGCGTCTGATGCTGCGTGTGCCCTCGCCCTTTCAGTGGATATCGTCGTTCCATGGCGACTGTTCGATAGTCGCACGGAGAAAAGCCCGGGCCGGTGGACCAAATAGCTGGAGCCGGTGGACAGAATACCCCGCCAACTGATAGCCGGAACTGCCAGAGGAGTTGTTGGGGATTTCGTATCAGCGTGGGGGCTAAACCTCATACAAACTCTGTCAAATCCCCTGTGAATCAAATCCAAGTTTGTTCAGAGATCTGACTGAATGCGGTCCGAGCCAGGTCGAGACTAGCTCCTCGGCTCCGCACGCGCGGCCGGACCGAGCCCCGCCCGCGGGGTGCCCGGTCCGCAGAGCCCCGCGTGGACGGCCGGTCCGTGCAGGCCGGTGACCGGCGCCAGGGCGGTCATTCACGGTCCAGCCGAGGTCCAGCCGAGGCCGGACTAGCGGTTCGTCCCAGGGCGCAGCCCATCTGATGACCAGGGTTTTCCCACTCTGCCGGCCTGGCTCCAGGGCGATATAGCCTATCCACTGCTGCTAACTAATTGTGTACAGCTATAGAAGTAGGCACTGAAACTAGCTAAACATCAGACCAAATGTGAAAGGTACTGATATTCCACACACAGTTCCAGTTACCACCAAATGCGTACTATCCCCTAATTCTGGTATGCATATCCCGTTAGCTTTCCAGATGGTTGTTCGCTATGCGTAGTTGTGGCGATCTAGTGCGATGACGCATCCCCGCATTCGGCTGGCGGCGGCCGCTCGGTGCCGGCTTGGGCAGCCATACATTACGGAAGGTCAAAGCGCACCACTCGGAGAGGGAGGGACGGCAGAGCTGGCAGCGCGACCGATCGACCGACTGACGAGTGACGACCGACCGATCGGCACTGAGTGGGTGCGGCAGGTCAACATGGCCCGTCGAGTGTTTGTCCGTGCGTGGCGGGCGAGCGAGGCTGGGGAGAGCAGCCATCGAGCGGAGGCGAGACTTGGCCACTAGTGTGGATACGGAGCAGCCACGTTCATTAATGGCGCCAATGTTCTAAAAATGAGACAGTTCCTAAACGGCAATGAAGGTTAGCTGTGGCACCCGGCCTAGCCAGTTCAGAGGCTGGGACTTCGGTGCAAGGCCCGCCCGACAGGTAATCTTGCCCGACAGCGTCGATGCAGCTGTTGTCTGGGCCGGCCCGAGGCCGTGTGAGAGCCCGGGGCATGTGGGTATGGTCAACGTTCAGCAGGTCACTCTCACTGCACAGTTCACATTCACCAGATCCGTCGATACAAGCTGTGCATGCCTGACTGAGTATCGGCTGCCACAAACCACCTTGAGACAGCACAGGTCCAGTCGTCAGTACCCACACTTAGCACATGCACTACTGCAGTCAACTTGCGGTCAACCTGCATATCAGCAAACCAACTCGATCATCGATGGCATCCGCCTAGCAATTAGGGCGCCTGTCTCCGAAACACCAGCCCAGAAGCTCCGCCATCCAGTGTTTGCCCCTCACCCGAGTGCTGTGTATTGTTCACAGCTCCAAACAATGCCCCTGACCATACCGGCCGGGTCGCGTTTCTAAGGCGGGCTGCTCCGGTTCCCATTGTTTGGCCGGAGACGGACCAAACATCCGTGTCCTGTGGCGTGGCTCGGCGGCTGAGCCTCGGGCCATGTGGCGCGGCACATCCTCTCACCACGGAAGGGCGCAGCGGCCGTGGGCGCCGATATACAGGCGTCAGCCGCTGCCAGCGGTCCCCATACGGTCCGCGATCCGCCAATCAGATGGAGCAGCAGTCTGTGCCGACCTGACCTCAGCTGACCAGACTAGGCAGTAGGCACTGACACAACATGACCTCAGCTGGCTTGACCTCAGTTGGCCTGATCCGACCTCAGCTGACCTGACCGGTAATAACCTGAAATTACCTCAACTGACCTGACATTGCGCAGACTGACCAGCTGCCGCCTGGTGTTACACTGCATGCGTTACCGTGTGTCGCGGCACTGACCTGACATCGCGCAGGCTGACCAGGTGGCGCCGGTGCCGCCGCGCCGGAGCCGTCCGGTACGGGTTCTGCGACTTGGACCAGCTGGCCGGCGCCGACACCGACATGCTGCCTGTGGACAGACACACAGACAGTGGGGGGTTAGTTTCCACTCAGTCACACAGACACAAGTCAATGCGGGAGACACGTACCACGCCGTATTTCCTTCCCTGCAACGTAGTGTGAAGCTCCTCAATGTAAATCCATCTGTTAAATCCCAGACCTATTAGCATGAGAGCCACGTCAAGTGTCAAAACATTGGCGCCCGATAATAATCTCGAGTGTTTACTAAGCCAACAGTCTGTGTGCGGAGCTCAGGGCGCCGATCTGTGTGCCGAACTAGCGCCGCCGCCGGTCGAACGAAACTCGATACGGCTCTGGCGGTCCTGGCGCTCCCCGGTCCCACCGACCACACGGGGTAGGCGCGCAGAGCTCTGTGATAGCTCGGCAACTCGTGCTGTGTGCGCTGGTTTCGCTGTTTGGACACGACCTTTATTACGCTGTTAGAGATCCCCGCCCCCCTCAGTACACATTACACCTGCTACAGAGCAACGGCCGGAGGCGAACCACAGCACCCGCCGAGTTCGGCAGCCGCTCCCAGCGCCTGCCTCCCCGTGCACACAGAGGGGGAGGCGGTGTCAGTGTGCACACAGGACAGGCACGCGCCGGACAGCCGGTAGTCCTGGGGAACCTGACGGCGCCGAACACAGCTCTCCGGCGGCTGCCGAGCCGCGCCGGGTCCCGCCGAGCCGACAGGGGAGCAGCCCCACCCAGCAGGAAAGTCAGACCGTACCGTCCATTGTCCGCCCCGGCCGAGTCCCGACCGCGGCCGTCCCTATGGCGGCCCCGCGTCCCGTCCAAGTGCAGGCTGACTCACGTGTGCTTTCCGCACGCGACGCATTCATCGACTTTAGCCGGGCGCTCGGCAGAAGGAGCCAGCTGAGGCTCGTGACGCCGCCGACTGCCGGGCCGTTCGGTCGTCCATCAGAGCTGCGCTGCGCTGCAGCCGACAGAATCTGCCAGAGTCGGCTCCCAATGGCCGGGCGTGGCGCCGCCAGCCCGCGCCGGCGGCTCACTATACGGCGATGCGTCATTGTTTGAGCAACAGTTCTGAAGTATCACCCGGTGGATCAACACAGCTCGGCGGCGTTCGACTTTGGACGCCACCCAACAAACTACTTCGCCGCCGTAAACCGACTTCATCTTCCCGGGAAAGATAAACACCATTTGTTTATCAGTTTACACCGATCAACAGCATTTCCTCGACGCTTTACCCCGTCTCGCATGTCGTCGACGCTTCGTCCTGTAACCGCCAAGATTACAGTCCAGGCTCATCAAACGGCGACCACAGCGGAGAGCAGGACAGAAGGGTCCGTTCAGTGGTGCCGAGTGCCGGGCTGCGTGGGTGGAGCGAGCGGGGGTCGGCCGCAGTGTGCCGTCCCCTAGGCCACTTCCCGCGGCAGGCGGACTCCGACGCCCTGTCCCTGGGGAGGAGGCGATAAGGACTAAGGAGGCAGGCGCATAACGCTTCACCGGCGACCGGCGCCGGCAGCGCCGGCTGGCTGCCTTAGGCGACTGCGCTCAGAATCCAGGCAGATGGTGTCCCGAGGGAGCCACGAGGAGAGCGGGGGACTGCGGACCGGGCGGCCCAGACGGAGCCAGCGCCGGGGAGATAGGACCAGACGGGACTGCGTGGCTGGGAGGCCCGGACGGAACCAGCGCCGGCCAGAAAAAGGACGGACGGCCGAGCCGTTCCCACAGAACCCCGAGCCGTTCGCAGAGGATCCCGAGCCGTTCGCAGGGGATCCCGAGCCGTTCCCGGAGGATCCCGAGCCGTTCCCGGAGGATCCCAAGCCGTTCGCAGAGGATCCTGAGCCGTTCGCAGAGGATCCCGAGCCGTTCCCGGAGGATCCCGAGCCGTTCGCAGAGGATCCCGAGCCGTTCCCGGAGGATCCCCTGGGAGGAGCGCGGGTGGGGACACGGCGGCAGCCTGTCTGCTCCACTGTCCGCTCCACTGTCCGCCGCGGCTGCCGCGGCACTTCACCAGCCCCGATGGTCGGGTGGCGTGTCTCGGTCCAGAACAAAGCGGTGTTAGAGGTGTCCGTTTCACGCCCTGCCGCCCATCACACGAACACCGGAGCCGGCCGGACCGGCACTAACCGGGGACGGCACGCACCTCGACACCGCTGTCCCGAGGGCAGACGTCCGGCGACCCACTGCGGCCCGGGAAGGCCGCGGCAGCTCGGCGCAGCTGACTTAGTGATGGGTGGAACACCATTACAACGTGCAGGGGGCTACCTGGCTTGGGCGATAAAGGGACGAGAACATCCTTAGCAACGTTAAAAAATCACCGGTTGCGTGCCTGGCGACAAGCAATGTCAGGCAGGTAGCTTCACTAATATACGTTCACTTCAGCCGGGATACTGTGCGAATGATGTGCAAGACAACGGTTGTCTTTCATTTCGTGACGAGTTGTATTTATCAAAATGCCATTTAAGCACAATGTGGAAAAGCTAAGCCACCGTTCACAGCCGCCGCAACCGGCAGCAACGTGCCGAGTCACACACAGGCCCGGATCGGCCGTATGTGCGGCACTCGGCACCTGCACAGTGTACGGCGTATCACGGCCGGTACGTGATCGAGCAGCTACCGTTACACGCTGCCGTGCGCGCGCCGCCGCCGGCCACCCGACACGTCCGCGGCCCAAACACGACCTTCGCACGGCGGCCGCTGCACCGCTGCCGTCCTCGGTCAGGGACCAGGGTACGGTCGGATACGGCGGGCACTGCCGCTGCGGCCGAGCCGGCCCGGCGCCTGCTGTGTGACCAAGCGGGAACCCACAAGCGCCGCTGCCCGCTACCCACAGAGCCGCTCAAAAGCCATATACGCCGCAGGTTAGCGTTTGACGGCGGTGAGCGCGCCCCCAGAGCCGGTGATGCAGCCGGCGGTTACAGCGGTCGGCAGCGCGTACCGCCAGCTCCCGGCCGCGTGGCGACGGGTTACGGCCGTCACCAACAGACGACAGACGAGCAGTGCCCGCCGTCTGCCGCCCCGCCCCGGCCCCGGTCTAATTCGGGCGACATCCGGCCACAGCCTCCGAAAGGGTGACTAGACACCCGGCGTGACGCCCCCACACATGGGACCGAGTCGGCGGTACCCGAGACAGCCACCGGCACTGGGCAGGATGGTCACTCGGTGATCCTAGACACAAAAACCAATCAAACTACCTACTTTTTGATAGAAATGGTCATGGTCTTGATGAAAGTCAGGAGTTATCGATAAGTTGAAACCCTTATCTAAAATAACGAGGTGATAGGGGTGGAATGCGTGATGAGTAGGTATGCATGTAGTTATATTCATGGAACCCCGAAATACCGCACACAACGAAACGTAGCATGAGCATTCAATATGTGCTCCTACCTTGGCCAAAACACAGAAGTCACTGAAGGACACTGGGGGTGTGGTCCTCTCGAGGAGGAGCTGGAGTCCCGGTGTGTGAACGGCTGGCCGCTCCGGGCGCCAGTAACCGGGGTGTGGTCCTCTCGGGGAGGAGATGGAGCTGTGGGTGTTAACTGTGGACCGCGGGCCGCTCCGGGCGCCAGTAACCGGGGTGTGGTCCCGTCGGGGAGGAGATGGAGGTAGGTGTTAACTGTGGACCGCGGGCCGCTCCGGGCGCGACCCCTGACGTCACCGGTCGGCGGCGTCAGACGATCAATAGAGGCGGCGGGCGTCTCTCAGCGCGCTGCTGGCCGGCCCGGACCCCGTGACCGGGGCAGGGCGGCGGAGGGCGCGGCGCAGCGAGACAATATTTAATCTCTGCGTCACAGCGAAACACGGGTAGCTGTCGCCCGGGGCGTGTAGAACTCATGTCACGAACGCGGTATCTGTGCACGGTAGCCGCCGTCCTGAGCCCGGTACGCGCCGTGACGTCCACCGACACATGTCGGTAATGTCAACAGATCAGTCACTGCAGCGTCGCCCCGTCCCTCGGGATACACGGCCGGGCCGACCCCTGCCTGTGGCCCGCGAGAGAAGAGCAACTTCGCTAGCAGTCTACTCGTATACGACAATCTTGGAGCTCCACTAGCTGGCTTCCGCAAGTCAGCATTCCAACTTTAGTTCCAGCTAGCAGTCAAAACTGACAACATGCCATATCCCTCATACACATGGACACGATTCGAGCCCACTGTCCCGCCCGTGAACTCAGGGGGAGATGGAGGAGCTGGCGGAGGAGACTGGCGACATTCCTCCGCCAGCTCCATAACCACTGTAGGCTGCAACAGGAGACAGCACAGTGCCTCACTGCATGCCAGCTCGAACGGAAAACAAACAAACACCAGCTGTTGGCCGCTGCACTACGCCGGGCAGCGCCGGGGAAGTGAGGTGGTGGTGAACCCCTGCCGGCCGCGTCAGTCATCCGCACCCATTACCCAGTCGGCAGCCCGGATCCGCCCGGACCCCGGGCCCGCTGTGACCGGGAGGGCGGGCAGTTCAGACCGGCCCCTGTCGCTGCTCCGGTGCAGACCGGCGCTGCTCGGAGCCGGCGGCACGGACGGAGACGGCGGCCCTGCCCCCGCGGCGGTCACGTGCGGCCGCGGACGGCGCACTCCTCGCCCGCTACCGAGCGGCGGCGTTCACACGTTTCGGCCGCCGGCGCCGCCGACGGCCGGCCGGCGCTCGGTGACAAAGGCAGGCCGCGCGCCCGATGGGAACCTGCCCGCGGGGTGAGCACACGAGACGCGCCCGCTGGAAGACGCCGCTGACGGCCGTCACTGCAGCCGGGCGCGGCTGACCCAGATGGTCCACAGGGTGTGACCTTGGCTGGCAGTGAACAATGGGGAGCCATACCGCACCTGGCGCGGCCCGCGGCACCAACTGCACCACAGCGGTCACCAGCCCGTGCAGGGAGGCCGCTGACCTGACCGGTGGACGGGTCAGTGTGCACTGTGTATCTCTCCGCCGGGAGCGCCGCCCGCCGGGCGGCACGGGGCGCCGCGGTGAACAGCCCGCGGCGCCCCGTGCCGCCGGTTCGGGCCGCCCAGACGCAGCGGCGCGGCGCCCTGAATGACGGCAGCGGAGTCCGCTCGGCGCCGGCGCCACGTTTTCCCACCGCGACCGGCCGTGACGGACGGCACAGCGAGTCCGTCTCCCCCCCCCCCCCATCCAGCGCGGCTTGTTTATCGTCGGCGGCCACTCGGGTACTCTCCACCAAACGACGCATTCACCGGCCGCCGGCGAAAGCCCAGCCCAGCGAGGTAAAACAGGCCTGCAACAAAACACAATGCAGGTAGAAACCGGCGGCGAGTAAAAGCGAGTCCGTCATCGCCGGGAAACTCGCCACAGTTGGGCTGCCACATGCTCTACTGACTCCACGACGGCGGCCCGGACTGGTGACGGCACACGGCGGCCGCAGAGGCGCGCCGGCCGAGCCACGGCGGGCCGCGCAGACCGGGCCACGGCGGGCCGTACTGCCACCAGCAGCCGGCTGTCCCCGCCACTGACCCCACCCGACGTCTCAAACCAGACAGTCCAGGTAGCTGAGATAATAAAAAGTGAGGGCAAGTCAAATGGAAGCATTACTTCATGACTATTAGATAAAGCAGAACCCCGTTAACACGACAGTTGATCGATAAATATGCCCGGTAGCGTCGTTGCCCCCCCCCCCCCCCGTCGTAGTTCTGTCAGAGGCGGAAGGAGGTCTAAGCTATGCCAGGGCCTTTTCTATCAAACCAGCCGTCTGCGGCCTGCCGGCCACAGTTCGTTAGGCAGCGTCCTCGCTCCGTCTCCGCTCCGTCCGCGGCGTAATCTCTGCTCCGTCGCCGAGCCCCACCCGGCTGTGGTCGGGCGTCGGCGCTTCCCGTGACAAAGTGACGGGCCATCGCGTGACACGCTCCATCGCCCACGCAGTGTCCCCGGCGGCGGCGGCTCTGCGGAGCGGCGCGCGCGGACGACGGAAGGTCGCAGGGTCACCGCTCTGAGGCGCGGAGCCGGAAGCCGGATTGCATCAGCTGCTATCACACCTGAGTTGACGGACCAGAGTACACGGCCGACGCCACCCGAGCTAAGCAGCTGGAGCGGCCGGTCCACAGCCCCGCAGGCGGCCGGAGCTGAACGAAATGAGTGTGTCAACAATGGAGAGCTCGACATACGCCCGGTCTGGCAGGCGGCGTGGAAATCTGGTATGCGACTGGCACAGAAAACGAGAGCCACAGCACAGCCGAATGGAGGAATGTACCGAAATGACGACACCGGTACCAACAAGGCAGACAATGCCGCTCAGGCCAACGGCACGCCGGCAGGGGCGTCCGCGGAGGAGCAGAGCTCGAGCTGCTGAGGCGAGGGAAATACGCCGCCATGAGCCGGCTTTACGCACAGTCCCCAGTAAAAAACGGAGAAACGCGCGCGGCGGGCGGCGGTGCGGCACGACGCGCTCCTGGAAAGTCGCTGGCGAGGTCGGCCGGTCCACGGAGGTGCCACCGAGCCACCGGCGGACCGGAGCTCGTACAGCCGCCGGGTCCAATCACTCACCATGACCAGCGGCGAGCCGGTGACACCTGCGCCGCCGCCGACCCAGCCGACCTGAGCCGGCGCTGCCACCAGCCAGGGCGGCGGCCGCCCCCCACAGCGGCCTTTCACCGGGCTGTGGCGGCCGACTGTGTGCATCACCCGCTCAGCTTTGGTGGGCGACGGCGCGGCCACCGGCGGCATTTACGGTCCGTGACCCGGCGGCCCGTAAATACCGTGACCCGGCGGCCCGTGAGCACCGTGAGCCGGCGGTCCGTAAATAACGTGACCCGGCGGGTTAACTCCCATCTCCGAGTCTCACCACATCGTGATATTAGCCGTGAGCGAGAAGCCTCGGCCCTGAAAAGAACCCGCCTGAAAGGAGACAGCTGCTCTCAGAAGATAGTTAAATTCGGTATCTGCTTTCGGAGTTTTTCGTTATCAGCAAAGGGACGAGTCTCCCTTCATTTGCACATTTCATGAGAAGACAAATGAAAACTACAAAACTTGAAGTTACAACACGCAGTAAAATTAGTGGAAGAAGAGGATTACCATGGGGTAGCGTCGGTGCAAAAGGATGTGGAATATGTATCATCCCACGGATAACAGCGAATACGGCTCTCGCGGGCCAAAGCGAAGCCCCGGGGCCGTTATCTCAATCAACTATCAGCAGTGTGGGCTGGGCGATGGTACGCGCGACGACTTTGTAGCCGACGCCGTCACCTGCCTTGGACAGTATCCAAATTCCAAAGCCACACCAATCCCTCATCTGAATGTGGCTGTGGGCCCATGAGGCTGTGTGGGACTGCGAGGGCGCCATTGCTATTCAGCAGCCGGTGCGCCGGGGGGACCCTCCATAGTTCTCCCAAACAGCCCGCCTGCGGACGCTGGGACGGCGGCGGCGCCATCGCGTATGCCGCTCACCACATGGGCCGCTTTGCTGCTCCTTTTTTGGGAGATCGGGCGGCCGCTCGGTGCGATGTATGTCCCATAACGCCGAGTCTGAGCCGCATGCAGCCAGCCGGAGTGACGCCGATTGAGCGAGGGAGTGGGGTCAGCTGAATCAGCCAGACATTCCCTTAAATTTGAGAGAAAGGGATCGTGTGCCACCAGCGGCCAAGGGAATCCCAGGATCTTAGCTTGGCTTCCCATATTGCAGTCCTGAATGCACTGGTCGAGCACGATGCACGCCGTCAAAAGGTGTTGCTCGAAAATGCATTGGAGCCTGGAGCCCAGCACAACCAGCACAATAGTCAGCCAATATAGACACATCACCAGTGCATGCCGTGAACTTCTGCAGACCATCCAGTAGCAGCGAACGATCCCCGAGGAGAGATAACAGATGTGTCAGCGGAACGGTGACACGCTCTCCCGCCCGCCATGACCGCGGCTGAACGGACGCGCCAAGTGAACCCCCGCTCACATCATCCTACCTACCAGTCACTGTAAGCCCCAGAAACCCGCAGCCGCTGGAGCCCCTGATTCACCATCACGGGATAAACAGACGTAGCTAGCACACGTCAGAGGCTTCTTGGATCGCTGGGAACGTGACGACAAAATGTCGACCCACGTCCAAAGCAATAATGACATTATACATACTGCCATCGATGCCCCCGGACCTATTAAAGTCTCCGGTCCTCAGCCTGAACAAAGCGACCATCAGCCGACGAAATCGATCCGTGGGTCAAAGGGTCGGGTGGTTCCTGCGCACCGCGGGACATCCGGTGCCGGGTGGTACAGGGGCGGAGCGTCTGGCCAGCGGGCTGGTGCACCGGCCGCACCTCTCGCATTAGACGCGCGACAGCCCCATGGCCGCCGCGTACACGCGCCATATGCGCCCCCGCTCCTCCCGCGGTGAGCCAGTGGAGCGCGCGCCGCCACTTTGCATCGACGTTTGGCCTGCAGCTCCGGTAGTCGCCGGAGCTGCCGGCTGCTGGAATTCCTGGCCCCGGCAATGGGTCGAGGCCCGAGGGGAAGGTCAGCCAGACCTCAGGCAAAGCACAGGGTTGTGCTCATCGTGCGCTGTTTGACCGGGGAATAAATTGACCAGGAGCGTCACCATACGAAGTAACTGATATTCTCGACAGCCGACACACGTAAAATCATGCCACGGCAATCATCACGACAGAGCACCGTATCTATCAGTCCCAGGAGAAACCGATCATGTCCAGCTGACATTGGACCCGCATTATTCACATCTCCCTTCACACCCCGTATGCAGTAGCGGCGGAACACCTTCAATTAAGGGGGGGGGGCACTGCCGACTTTTGGTCCCATTCTATCCATGCAACGCCCATAGGGCTAATGTTAAAATGCCAAAATCAAAGGGGGGGGGGCACGGTGCCCCGGTGCCCTCCCCGTTCCGCCGCCTATGCCCATATGATGTCGTCCACATAATGTCAGCGGCTCCAACGTGCCGAGTCGGGGCGGCGTGCGGGCGACGGCCGCGGGTTGAAGGGACGGAGAGCGCCTCCACCCGCCGTGACGGCCACGCCAATCAAGCCGCCGCCGTGGCCGACGGCGCAGTCCGACCGTCCGTCCGTCCCTCCGTACGGCTGGCTGCCGGGGACATCCGAGCGAGAGCGGACCCGGCCGATTTCTCCGGCCCTCCCGGCAGCGGTCCGGCCGGCGTCAGAAACATGGCGGCCGATGGCGGTCCGTCCAGCCGTCAGCCGGTGCCATGTGCTGCTGTCACCGCCGAGACTCCAGCACACACCCACCGCCATCACCTCTCGGTGGATATACACTCAGCATGAGTGCCGTCTGGGTACTCCCCGAAACGACCCGTGGTGTTATCACACACAAGACACCCACAGCGCCACAGCGCGGTCTGGCACAGCGCCGCTCTGAGCCAGCTCATCCCGCCTCGGCCGGCCGTAAGCCTTTGCTGAGCCGCAATCAACACGTCACCGCCAAACAGCAGAGTCTGGCAGTATGGGACGGCGAGTGATGCCCGCCGGTCTCCGGCAGACGCGCCACTCTGGGTGACGTCAGGCGTGCCGTCCCCGACCCGTAACGGCCGTACGGACCTCCCCCAGGGAAATCATCGGCACAAAGCCAGACGGCGTCGGGCCGAGTGTATAGGAATATCGGCAGAGACGGCGGCCGCGCCAGCCTACATAAAAAATAACTCGGAAATTATATGGGCTCGAGCAGAGGAACTGCAGACAACTCATTTCCATACTTGCATTGATCGCTGATAAACAGTTCATCAGCAGCCCGCCAAAGTCCATGGAAGTCCCATTTCCCGGTCCAGAGCGCCCATAGTCCGCAGGCGGCCAGCGATGACAGTGTCGCCGGCGCGCGCTGTTCGTCCGCCGCCGGCGCTGGCCCAGATCCTGCGTCTGGCGGCCGGCGCGGCGGCCCGACGGCGGATCCTGTGACCCCGATGGCGGCCGGGTCACCGGCGGCCGGCGACGCACGGCCACATTCCAGGGCCGCGGCTCCCACCGGCCGACAACTCGCCCGCACTGGCAGTGTGCGTACCAGCCACGGTGTGATCGGGCTGGCCGCCGCCGGCAGCCGCTCACAGCACAGCCCGCCCGAGCGTCACACGCGTGAAAAGGAATACAAAGTAAAAATGCCACGGCGAGATACAGCCCAGTGGCGTGCTTCGCAGTCCACAAAACTGCTACCGCGTGCTCACACAGCGCTCCAGTGCACACTGCACGCCATTGCACTGTGCACAGCTGCACAGGGCAGCGCTGTGCACGCCCAGACCGCAGGCCATCAACTGCACAGGGCAGTGCCGTCAGATGGCTGAAAGTGAGACGTGATCTCGCAGTCGGACAGCCCCCGAGCGGCTAACTGAGTGAATTGGTCCTAATAAGGCTGATGTCCCCACCGCAGCTCAGCTCCGGGTGACGGCGACAGCCTCGTCTGCTGCGCAGCTGCGCGGCAGGCGCGGATACCCGGCCACATGGGCTCCGCAGCCACCGCCCAGAGCACGGCAGGGCGCTGTTCGCCGCCCCGAATGGTCGCCGACTCGCCACTCACACATCCTACAACAGCGGCCGATCGGGAACAATCGGCCCGCATCGACAGCACAGAGACTTTCCTCGAACTCCGAGCGGCCCGAATCGGCCCCTCGCCGCGAGGTGTACCGTCGGCCCGATTTGGAGGGCTGCCGCTGCCGTGACGGGCCGGTCTGCCGTTCGTGGAGCCGGTCTGTGCGCGACACGGCAGTCTGTCGGCCATAGGGGCCGGTCCGCAGGGACGGGGGCAGTGCGAGCCGCCGGCACCTGTGCGCCGGCACAGTCGCAGCCGCCCACACCGCCACCCGCCAGTCCCAGACCGGACGGACGGACCCGCGACGGACGGACCGACCGACCGATCGACCGACGGACGGACGGACGGACATCATAATCGGCCGAGATAGGAATCCCGGACGGACTCCGGCCGGACGACATGTGACGCGGACGCCGCTCGGCCCAGGCCGGCCAGCATGAGTCAGAGCATCTGCATTTAGATCGACAAACGGGACAAACGACACTTCCCGGAGGTGGCCCAGTGTCGCGTCGTCCCCGCACCTGTCCGCGCCGAATCGCTCGACAAGTTTCAGAGCCGCTTTATACACGCTTTATAGGTAGTTATATGACGCTTGTAAGTATAGATGGGCAAGGAACAATGAAAAACAAAACTTGAAGTCTTTCTAAGCAGTTGCACAAAACGAAAAATGAGCGAGTGGAACGCTAAAACGCTGCTGTCAAGCGCCATACCTGAAAGCTCGAGAGCAACAGCCTAACACGAGAATGGCGACAAAACAGATCGACACCGGCTACGCAAAACCATCCGCCATCACGCCGCGACATTCAACAGACACCCTATGATTGTTCGGATACAATCAAATCCAGCCCTGCGCAGTGCGCTTAGTGTCGACTGTCGTTAATAATTGAACAGCAGGTGTCCGGATTCCATTGATTCAGCCGCGCGGGGCGCGATCCCGGCCTCCGGACCGGGGCGGGTCCGAGCTAATCAATGTCTGCCGCTGCTCCCGCCCGCCACTGCCGGAAACACCTGCCAGGGTAGTCCTGCTCACTGTCATATAGCCAGCCAGCAGTACCTTCAGTGTCGCAGAGCAGGCCAATCGGCCGTCGACAGTAAATCCACTGCCGCCTCCCAAAGCCAGAATCCTCATTAGTCAGCAATCGCCTGCTTTGAGCGGTCCCGGCCGTTGTTCTAGTAGGTGACCAGTAGCTCTAGTGGCCCTCACCTTCCTCCCCCACCGTCCTGCAGTGTACCCAGTCACAGAGCGGCCTTCGGCCCACCCCGGCCAGCCAGCTGCCCGGCCCGGCGGCCCGCCCGCTGCAGCCGACATTGGCCGACGGCGCCCGGCCGGCGCCGCAGCTGTAAATGGCGTACCGATGACAGCTCTGGTCGGGCGCCATCGCCGGTCAGGTGAGGCCGTCACGGCCGGCGGCGCGGTCAGGGACGGGAGAGTTCCGCCGGCGCGGCGGTCAGCCGGTGGGAGACATAGCTGACGGCCTCCAGAGTCCAGGAAGACTAGTGACTAGTGAGCGATCTCGCCCCGGCACCGTCCGCAGCCGAGTTCGGGGTGCGCAGCCACGGGCAGGGCAGCTGCCGGCACACAGTCACTGTGAGCACAGTGCAGCTGTCCGCCCGCAGGCAGCGCCAGCGGTGGCCCACAGAGCTCTGCATTGCATGGCAGCATGAGCCACCCGGCCGGCCGACCCGGCAGCCGGCGGCGGACGGGGCAGGAGGAAACGGCCTCGCGTGCCGGCGGCCTCGTGTGCCATCAGTGATACCCGTCCCCGGCGGTCAAAAATGGTAGGAAGCCAAATCAAGAGCACGCTGGAATGCGAAACAGGTGCTTATCAAGCCACCGCTGTCATTGGAATTGGTTTAACAGCAAAGAGCATCAGCATTAACAGCACAACTAGCAGGACAAATCTGTAATCGAGGAACAGCACCACAGCACAGCACGTTGAACAGACGGGTAAATTCCGACAGCACCGACAGGAGGCCGGTAGTCGGCGATATCGCCCTTCCTACCCCTATCACGCCCTGGGCCGGCCCGCATGGGTCGTCCGCGCGGTGACCCGGCCGGCAGCCAGCCTGCTGCCGCCGGATCGGCCGATAGGCGAGGTTCAGTTACCTGCTGGGTGTCCGAGCCGCCGGGGGTGGGGCTCGCCGGCCGCCGACCTCAGCTGCTGTCGATGTCACCGGCGTCACCCGGCCGGCCGCGCTGCGTCTCACAGAAATAGCGCCGCCGCCGCCGCTGTGCGCGCGGCCGCCGCCCGCCGGTCACAGCGCGTCGCTGTCGTCGGCGGCGCGTCGGCACCGACTCGGCGGCGGCGCGGCCGCACCGAGCCGGCCGGCTGGGTCGCGGGCTCGGCCACCGAGCGGGCTCAGCCAGTCACCAGAGCGGGTGCGCGCCTCACCCCGACATCACCATCTCAGCGGCGTACTTCCCGGACACCACAGCCGTCGCACTGCACACCAGCCGTCCCTGGCCGCCGCACTTGCACAGTCGCCGTCCTGCCGCCCTGCACACGGACACCGGCCGCGCTCCCCCGTCACGTGCTGCCGCCGCCACGCCACGCTCGGCACTGGCGGCGGCGGCGGCGGCGAGGCAGCGGCGACGGCGGACCGGGCGGGTCTCACCGGCGCGGCGGCTCAGCCGCTCCACCGTCCACAGAGATAGAGAAACTCCACACGCCAGTCGGCGCTCGGCAGATAGGAAACAGCGAGAAAAAGAGACTGAAAATCTGGGGAAGGCAACGGCTGGACCATGCAGAATGAGCAAGAGCATGAGCACTTGAAAGACAACGTAGCCGTTCGGCACCGGCAGGGGGCAGTGCGGTGGCGTCTGCTCTTAAATTCAGATCAGGTGAAGCCTCCCACCGGTATGTCGAATTTCCTCAGAGCAGTGACGGAACACACCAGAGTGGAGAGGATGCGGCTGCGAAACACGGCTCGGATGCTGCCGGCTGCCGCATCGCAGCACTGCGTGAGGTGCCGGCCGGGCGACCCGTCCCTGATCGAGCTCCCGTATACAGCCGACCGAGGTGCCGGGCCCTGGCCGCAAGACGGCCGGCGCGGCGGTGACGTGTCCTTCAGAGCGGCACACATCGGCGCCGGCCTCCGGAGGCCGTGCAGCGCCGGCACAAAAACCGTCACCTAACGGGCGGCCGACGCGGGCGCGCGCCGCCGCCCGCCGGCCCGTGCCAAAGGTCCCGCGCCGCGCGCCGACACCCACCGTACGCGGCAGACACGCCCCGACCTGGTGCACACCCACCGTACGCGGCAGACACGCCCCGCCCTGGTGCACACCCACCGTACGCGGCAGACACGCCCCGACCTGGTGCACACCCACCGTACGCGGCAGACACGCCCCGACCTGGTGCACACCCACCGTTCGCGGCAGACACGCCCCCGACCTGGTGCACACCCACCGTTCGCGACAAACACGCCCCGACCTGGTGCACACCCACCGTACGCGGCAGACACGCCCCGACCTGGTGCACACCCACCGTACGCGGCAGACACGCCCCGACCTGGTGCACACCCACCGTTCGCGGCAGACACGCCCCCGACCTGGTGCACACCCACCATTCGCGGCAAACACGCCCCGACCTGGTGCACACCCACCGTTCGCGGCAGACACGCCCCCGACCTGGTGCACACCCACCGTTCGCGGCAGACACGCCCCGACCTGGTGCACACCCACCGTACGCGGCAGACACGCCCCGACCTGGTGCACACCCACCGTACGCGGCAGGCACGCCCCGACCTGGTGCACACCCGCCGTTCGCGGCAGACACGCCCCGACCTGGTGCACACCCGCCGTTCGCGGCAGACACGCCCAGACCTGGTGCACACCCGCCGTTCGCGGCAGACACGCCCCGACCTGGTGCACACTCGCCGTTCGCGGCAGACACGCCCCGACCTGGTGCACACTCGCCGTTCGCGGCAGACACGCCCCGACCTGGTGCACACTCGCCGTTCGCGGCAGACACGCCCCGACCTGGTGCACACCCGCCGTACGCGGCAGGCAGGCCCCTGACCTGCGCGCCGGCGTGTGGACGCTGTGTACTGTATACAGAGCTCACCGACGGCGGTCCCTTAGAAACACGAGTACTGGTGGAAGCCTGGCCGACATCAGCTCAAGCTCACCGATTTCTGAATGACGGGAAAAGAGCCGGCGATGGTGGGCGGCAAACCAATCCAGTGAACACATACAGGTAACAATAGAAGCCAAACACTTTTAGGATATTAATTAGATACCGTTACCGGAAAACCGTAAAGCCCATGACCCAACCTTGCCACCCTTCTTAGAAACATATGAGAGGAACACTTATTCGAATTTGGTAAACGCAGCAAGAGAATCCTACATGCTGACAATCTTCCCGTGAATTCACTTATATGCAGCGGCGTTCACTGGTAAACCCAGACCCCGGGCGCCCTGTTCAGCGCGTCCCTGGCGGTGCTGCGTGCAGCCCCTCTGGCGCTCTGCCCGGGGTGTCTGCGCCGCCGCCGGTGACTCGGCTGCTTACAAAGAGCGGCTTGTTACCCAGTCGCCGCCTCGCAAACGGGCGATGACATACAGAGCACGCCCGCGGAACGGCGTGGGCCGGGCGGCCTGCAACCGGCGCCGCACCGCGCACAGACGTCCTCAGCGGGCCCATTGTTTTGGCCGGGATTCGGCTCACAATTTTACCGCACTGTAATGAGCCGGTCCACACAGCTGGGGTCAGCGGAAGCACTGCGGCCATTCCGTGTGCGCAAAACATAGCCGGTTCGCGACCAGGCACGCTGTTTGCAAGGTGGCGCTCCAAAACTGAGAATATCCGGGCTCGTCCCGCTCAATAGCCTACTGGGTTTGACATATTGGGAGCAGCGCTGGACAAATGGGTCGATTTGTTCAAGTACAAAACCTATACATGTTTCGGCCTGCCAGAGACCACAGGCAATTGATTGCAACTAGCCACACTTGCAAACGAACGGCACAAGACGAATCACTACACGGTAGACGCCCGCGACGAACGGCTAGTCAGTGAGCAGCGCCACAGACACGAAACAGCGCGCTCCTCAACCCCCCGTGAGTGTCCCACTCGTGTTGGACGGTGGGCAGGCACGCAGTGACTCGCGTTGGAATAGCTTCCCGTCCGCCGCCCGCAGCGCTCTGACGCCGTCGCGTCGGGTCGGAGCCGCGCTGCCGAACGCCTTGACGTGTTTACTCCGCGGTGACTGTCTGCTGGGGAGGGCGAGTCGCCGACACCGACGGATGGGGAGGGGGACGGGACCAGCTCGGAAAACGGCAGCCGCGTCAGCGCCGACGGAGCCGCCGACCTACAGACAGACTACAGCCAGCACACCTCCAAGGACATATCTACAGACAGACCTAAGACCCAACAGCCAGAGACGGACCGGCGGACCAACAGACCGACCTAGCAGCCAGCAGACATCCACGAACGGACATACAGACAGACCCCACAGCCCGCAGACAGACCGACCGACGGGCCAGCCCGGGCAGACAGGCACAATGGTCAGTCAAATTATCAGCTGAGGGACCGCCGCTCAGTCCGGGCAGGATTACTCAGTCCGGGCAGGATTACTCAGTCCGCCGTCCGAGGACGGAGCTGGCGGCTCGAGGGCGACGGACCGGCCGCCGACCACCTCGCGGGTCAGCCGATCGGCCACCGACGGACGGCACGAGCGGCAGCACATCCCGCAGTATCACCCCGCCGTGCTGGAGCCGCGAGGTGGCGCCTGGCCGAGCGCTGCCCGCCACCATCCACGGCACAGGACACACCGAGGGCTGGTCCCGCCGACCCAGAGGCGGCTCCACGACACAGCCGTGACGCCAAGAGCCCCATGTGGCAGACGCAGGACCGTGCCGGGCGCACCCAGACACTGGGGTTAGACGCCTCAGTCAAGTGCAGAGATACCTGGCTGCAGACACTCCAATATTTGTGTATGATATGGTGAATACTTATGGCGGATTTAACAAGTAAATAAGTAGGCACTTTGGTATGAGCTGCAGCTGAAGAGCCCGGCACATAGTTATACAAGATAAGCAGAGGTACCCATATCCACTGAGTCAACAATGACACACGATTCAAAGGCACCGGGGAAGTGGACTCGTGTAAGAACATCAGTCAACACCACACATTCAGCCTGGAAATCACCAAAAGCCTGGCGTTCCCTGACGTGGTGGCACGGTCAAAGTCAACGCCTCCCGGGACAGACACCGTGCGGAACCACGGCCGGTTAGCGCGCCTCCGACCGACCACAGCCACCGCCCCGAGACCTGACCACTGGTCAGTGACGGGACATGGCACGCCTCCGACCGACCACAGCCACCGCCCCGAGCCCTGGCCACTGATCAGTGACGGGACATGGCACGCCTCCGACCGACCACAGCCACCGCCCCGAGACCTGGCCAGTGACGGGACATGACACGCCTCCGACCGACCACAGCCACCGCCCGAGACCTGGCCAGTGACAGGACATGGCCGGCAGCAAACCTGGAGCCTACCAGGACCATCAACAACGCCCACAAAATGTCCAGGGAAAATAATACGAGGACTTTCTGGGCGCACAAGAAGGTACCTTACAATTATCGAGCACTCTTCCAGGCAGGGAGCTCCCCATCCTATGCGTACTATGTACTCTCCATCGTATCGTGTCAGACATTGTGATATTTATTCACTTTCGATGACAACACAAGCAACAAGGGACTAAGAGTTATTGCCTACTGGCCAATAAGCACAATGAAAGGCATGGACATTGTTTAATAACTCTAATGTTAAAAATAGTTACCTTTTGTAAAGTTTGGGTCACAACCCACACACCTGCTACCTACAGGGTGTCCCATAAGTTCCTTCTCACCTAAATTTTTCTTTTAGAGGCTCTCTTATTTAAAGCCACGCTTAATTTATTTTGTAACTGAGCTTTTGGGGTTGCCATGGCAACTGTGAATGTGCTCCACGGTAAATAATTCGTCTAGACAAAATATTTTTTGCCAGAGAGTTCAGGGGGATGTCACTACTTTGCTTCGCCATAGGTCCAGTACTGATGTCGTCGGTTTCGATCCCGGTGACGTCAGTGCTGTCTACATCCGGGAACTTATCGCACTTTGTTCTCATTAGAGGTGGCCATATTGTTTTGTCTCGTGACGACACATTTGCGTCATCGGGATCGAAACTGGCTGTAAACAAATCGCTCAGTGTCGCTACCTACTATATATGGCCTTGAGAGAGTTCACTTCCTTTGGAGACGGCTTACGCCGCAACATAGAGGTCTCTGATACGGGAACGTCTCGGTATTTAGACCGCACTGGGCCATTCACGACGGTTGAGGGTGATTGAGGCCATCCAGTATGTAGCCAATGTCTGTCGCTAACTGGACGCACAGTCAACAAGTGACGCCGATGATTTGTCGGGAGTCAATCGCTCCAAGTTTATGCTCTTTTTTTGTCAGCTTTCACGAGTGAGCCATGTGGCCAAAACTGTGTGGCGCCAAAATGGCCGTCAAAAAGGTCTTAGCGTTAGAAAGTTGGTAAACAGGCTTTTCAGGATGCATTGCCAGCTGTCTAAGAGTATCATTTCGGGGTACTATATAATACTGAACGAGGCCGGTGTAAATAAATTTTCAAGACCGAGGTCCTTACTGGATTTTTGAACGAGGCCGAAGGCCGAGTTCAAAAATCAGTAAGGACCGAGGTCTTGAAAATTTATCACCGGCCGAGTTTGGTATGTATTTTACTGTATGCCAACGATAAATTTATGTTCTGGACCGAAGCTCTTAGCCGACTTAGGAACGAGACCATCCCAAAATGTTGGCTTAAGTGCAAACTGGTAATGCATTTTTGACCGTGGTCAATTTGCTTACACCAGTTATTACCACACCCCTCCGGCTAATGTATTTGAATAGGCCAGGCATACAGTAACTAACTCAAGGTCACTTAAGCTCTACTTACTGGAGGGCTCAAAACAGTCAAAAACGTCTTAAAATGGCCAAACATGTGTTTCGTTATGCCTGAGGCTAAAAAAAACTGGAGGGCCGATAACATCAATGTGGTCATCTGGACTACCTAGTCCGTGCTCGAGATGAAACACCCGTCCAAACCCCAAAACGGTCCCATATGGGCGACGGAAAAGGCCTTTGTGTCATCCAGCTTTATTCCTATGCATAAGGCCAGGGTCACGGTAATGTGGAGTGATATGCGTCCAGACACTGATCACGTTGCGATTGATGCTCCAGAAACAGTCTTGGGACGCAGAATGCTTCTCCAAGAAGATCTAGGAGGAGTTTCAGCTTTCTAGCTTAACTCGAACCGCAAGTATGACCACATTTTTTTAGAAGAAAATGGCATCCGGGAGGTCGTAGGCCCATCTTCAAGCAAGACAGTGCATCAGTGCAGAGGTCAAGCAAAGCATAAAAGCAGTGCCAGGAGACTGTGATAGGCGTGTGTGGCAAGATCACATCCCAGGCAACTCATCGGATCCAAATTTCATAAAAATGTGTTGGGAATATTGAAATCGAGGCTCGTCGAAGCGAAGCGGTGTTCCAGCATTGAGGAGCTCACGGCGCATGCCAAGTCAGTCTGGGCTAACTTCAAGCCTGCTATGCTGCCAAACATGCCGGTTGGCATGTCGCAGCATGTCATCACGTGTTTGCCTATGAAATGGGGAGCACATTGAGGGGTTATAAACATATCAAAACGCAATGTACTATGTTTTACATGCAAATAAAAGGTGAGAACGAACTTATGGGACACCCTGTATATTGACAACAAATTAAAGCATTTGTTCACTGAACACTGTAGGGACACCAGACAAGAGTCATTAAGAAAGCAAGCCATTCACAACATTATTTATTATTGTTAAGGGGTTTTTGGGCGCTTGGACTACAGTGGCCATCGGCGCTGTTGCCGACAAACTGCACTAGGTAGTTGGTGTTGCGGCTCATTTCGGCTCTGATCGTAGCTGCCGGGCCGGGCCGACTCGTGATCCCGGCCGGCGCCGCTCCACGCCGCCGCCGCCCCCATCCCCCTGCCATGCCGCCGGCAGATGGGCCGTCCTCGAGAGAGTTTATGGCAGTGATCGGGTGACGGGACGCTTCTCTCTCCCTGCGACCGTGTTCTACAGCTGCAGTTGTATGAAAGGATGCGCTGTTACCGGAGGGACTGACCCGGGGGGAGGGGGTGGGCTGGCGTGGCGTCGCACGTGGAACAGTGTCCCCGGCGGGTCGGAGCCGTTAGGCCGACATGTGCCGACCGCGTGGTAGGGTTACCAGGACGCTGTGTAGTGTGTAGCTTCTTTGTTATTTCATCACTTCCGTCGCCATCTGTGTCCTCCCGACCCAGTACATAAACGGGGCGGGAGCAGCCCTCGCCCTCACTTCTTTACTTTTCGGCGCCGAGAGAGCACTGCCTCGCTCTCTCTGGCCAACTCTTCTTGTCAGTGATACTGTGTTGTCATCGCCTATTCGCCATCTGCAATACTCACCAGTTCGGAAGAATCTTGTGTTTGTGAATGGTGAAGAGTGGAGTGCAGCGGCGGATAAGAGCACGGGGAGAGTGGCACACAGTTCGCACAGTCTTCTATTTCACGGTGACCGGGTCTACTTATCATTCCTATCTGATTCCTTATTTTCCTAATACCTCTTGCTCTCTGAAAAGAGGGTTCCTTTGTCTCTCTGTAAAGAGGGCTCTATATTTAGGTCTTAACATGCTCTCTGTAAAGAGGGTTCCTTTGTCTCTCTGAAAAGAGGGCTCTGCATACCCTTTTAGGTCTTAACATGCTCTCTGTAAAGAGGGTTCCTTTGTCTCTCTGAAAAGAGGGCTCTGCATACCCTTTTAGGTCTTAACATGCTCTCTGTAAAGAGGGTTCCTTTGCCGCTCTGAAAAGAGTGCTCTTAAACCTTGATCCAAAATTATATCCATTCATATAGCATCCACTTCTTATATTATAAATTCCCAATTTCGCCTCATTACCATATCAACCTATATCCTGTCAGGCCCCGGTCGCCACACCAAATGATGCGAGACGTCAACACACACACAGTTATACAGTCCACTGAGTCAAGTTGAAGAACGTCTGCAACAGGCGCCATTATTGTTAAAAATGTTTCCATATAGGCACCTATGTGAAATTTGAAATAACTAAACGCTTAACATTGACAAAGAGACATACCTAACAAAGAGACTGGTGAAATTTAAGTACATACTATTGCAACAACCCAAGCATGGAAACCCATGTGATTTTATGATGCTCCCAGATCCCAGTTTTCTGCATGTAATTTTGCATTTAAGCAACATTTCAGCAAGTGCCTAAGCTAGTTACCACTAATCACCCTCCCACCTGCTTCCTCATTCATGACCAAATGTCATGGGTCCCTGGAGAAAAATCTACAAATAAAAGCAGAATCAGTAAAAAAAAAAGGTCAGGGCCAGCCTCCAGTTGCATAAAAGGGTCTAAATTTACCTTAACAGTGGCATCAATTTACAATGAATAGGTACCTACCTACCTACTCTATCTAGGTATTCAACAGTGCCCTTGCTTGAGAGCATGTGGAAAACAAGTCAGGCCAGTCAGTCGGATCAGCAATTGAGACCATGCAGCATTTGAGGGGCACTACCCAGCAGCAGCTCTTTGCTACACTTCACTAGCTATGTATGTACTTTGTCACTCTTTGTTAATCAATGCAATAGCTTTGTATTGTTCCTGTGGTTACATTAAAAACATTAATAAACACTCAACTCAGTAGCAGTAAAGCAGGCATCACACTTTTTTCAACCAGGGAGAGGTGCTGTAGGTTAGGTTGTAGGTTGTAGGTTTCAGGTTTAGGTGGTAGGTTTTAGTTTGTAGGTTGTAGGTAAGGTTAAGTTAGGTTTGATTAAGTTTGGTTTGATAAGAAAGTATGTCTGGGTATAGTGTGTCTCCTTGGTTGCAAAAAAGCAAGTGTGACACCTGCTTTACAGCTAGGTACCCAACACACCAACTCACCTTCTTCAGAGCTGTCCTGTGCAGAAAGCTATCTTGACAGTCTTCCCTTCGGAGTTCAAATATTATCACCATGAATTGTCATGATGAGCATTTGTCAATGATTTTACCAGAATTACAGTTCAGCCTGGTTATTGCCTTGATAGGTAACTGTAATGAAGGTAAGTTATCAGATATAGTTCAAAATAAGGCCCCGGCCTTCGAGTAAGGTTAAAGGGACCCTCCCACCTTCAAACAAGTTAATGGAATTAGAATATAAGTGATGTCCCCGGGTTCAAAAAGATCAACAATGAATATCTACCTAATTTCACCAAAAAATATACACTGGTTTTCAAGATATTACTTTTACTTTTGTTTACTTTTTGGGACCTGCGCTGTTCCTACGACGTCATTTGGAAGCAATAATTTGGCGTCCTTAAACTAAAGTGCGGCAGATATTGCAAGCAAAGCAGCATATACCAGTCACCACCACATTTTACTGATAGTTATAGCATAAAATTTAAAAAAAATAGGCCTCTGCTGATGTCACAAATTCTAAGAGGGCATTCATATCCCCCTTACAATCTGAAAACTGCAATTTTGAAATTAAATATCTCTGAATTAAAGCAGTTCTCGATGTTGTGGGTGCCCGGCCAAACTGAAACCGGTAAGTGCAAGCCATTAGCCAGGGACCCCAACTTGCCAATCTCAACTCAAAACTAATGTTAGGATGGGATGGTCACTTTAATTACAGAACATGAACAATTCACTGTAATTTAATCCAAGTCAAGGCTAAAAACCTCCCAAGCTTCAGCTGAGCTTGAGCTGCGCTGATCTGGAGGAAAAGTCACGGTAATGGTAATGCTCATATCTATTTCCGAGGTCAGTGAAGCCAACCTACCGAAACTAGGTACCAATCACAAAAGCAGTTCACATTAATTTAAAGGTGAATTACAACTATAGAGCAAAATAACTTGATAAATGCACAAAATTCCCGACGATCAATCACAGCTGCCCACCTCTCGCATCCCACACATCACAATGCGTGAAATTCCTTTGCGCGCCATATTCGCCGACGAGTGCAATGAACTCGACTAGCGAGTGTTCGTGTGCTTCGTCAGCACTTGCGTCAGCATCAACTACATAGGCCTGTTTCACTAAAAACTTGCGATTACAAGTGTTTGAACTTTACAATTCATAAGTATTTTTGCAAACTATGTAAAATCGGATTTCACTAAACTTCATCACCAGTGGCACCTCCGATAAAAAGAGTTTGCAAAAAAACTTGTAAACAGTAAAAATGTTTTTAATCAAGAACTACAACATGTTACAGATATTGCTTCTTTTTATCAAATTATGTCTAGTATTCATGTCAAAAATGCATGAATAAATTATAAATAATGATGCTGTTTCTAAATGGTATAAATGATAGTTCACAATATCTTATTATTGAAAGAAAATAACACGCAAAACATTTGACAGCAGAAGACTGTTGAATGCAATTATGGCGCGCGAATGACAAAACATGACGATATTTATTTATTGCTCGTAGCTGGTTCGTAGGGATTGTGCTAAGTAAAAAAGAGCATATAATGACTCAGCGTATCATATTTGTTTTAAATAATTGATTGCTTTGCATCATTGCACAAAAAGTAATAAAATTCCGAACGTAAGAGCCACTGGAATTTCGGGTTTGTAAGTACAACGTTTTCTTTCAAGTTTTTGGTCTTCATGAAACAGAAAGTTTGCGATTTTGATGTTTCTTACAAACTTTTTTCTTGTAAAAAAGTTGGTAAATTTTAAACTCAAAATTCATGCTCGGAGGTTTCGTGAAATCCAAATTTCAAATGTTGGTAAACATTTCTTTTAAACTCAAGTTTTTTCTTTGTAATTACACACTTTATTTGTTAGTGAAACAGGCCTCTGAGTGACTCGCAACCGCGTATTTACAAATTGCAACCGAGCTCCGCCGTGGGGTAAGCGTATTTACAAATTGCAACCGAGCTCCGCCGTAGGGTATTTTATTTCCGCCGTAGTGTATTTCACTTGGGGGATTTTCTACCAGGCATCTGCCTGAGCTTAGGGCAATTACAATTTGTCGGCGACGTTCAAAAATCATGCACCTTTTTTCGCAGTATAGGATATCGCATGTGCATATTTCTGCCTTTTTGGGTGCGGTTTATCGGTTTTTCGTGAGTAACTCGCGTAAAAACCGTCCGATCGCGACGAAACTTTCAATACCCCCGATTTTATCAATTTTACACCTACCCTGAAAATTTCATGACTCTGACCCAAATGACCTTTGACCTGTGACCTATTTCTCGAGACCAGTTTGGCCCGAATCGCGATTCGGCTTATGTCGGCTCGCATTAGCCGCGCGGTTGCAGTCTTCACGTGGTTTCAAGCGTTGAAACATGTGATATGATGCTGGTCCCATGCATTAGGGTGGGGTGGGTGTCAAGGTCACTTGAAGGTCAGGTCAGCTCAATGACCTTTGATGACCTCGGTTCACTTTTTCGAGTTTTACATGTTTCTAGGCTAGTTTTTGGAGCTGATTTCGAATTTAGCAACCATTTGAACATTACAGGGGGTGTAACGAAATTATCCGGACACCTTTCTTCCCGCTGTAATTAAAAAGCAAAACAATCTGGTACTTTTTCTTTTAACTGAGCTTGTAGCCACCTTTCATAAAAACACAGTGGCGAATGTTCTGGAGCATTTCAGCCAATGGATTCTCCAGCACACTGGCTTTGATGCGGACCAACGCCGTCTAAACCTGTGCCTGCGGTTGAGCAGTGCTTATGGCGGGTGGCTCTTCATACACCTCCTGCTGAACAAGAGCCCACAGGTTTTCGATTGAATTGGGATCGCGACTTTTTCCAAGTCATAAGCGTTAGCCCAGAATGATTGAAGATTCTATCGGCATCACTTCCCGTTCTTTAAGGGACTTTAAAGTAGCGCGCCGCCCCGCATGAAGACAGCGTGGCTTGAATCAGGCATCAGTGCGCGTTCAGAAACCGTGCCCTCCTATGCCGTCTGGTTGAGCGCCTCCAATCATGCTCCACCACCTTCCCTGGAAAAGCTCCACCCTTGCCTATGGGGCAAAATATAAGGGACAAAAACACAAAACAAGACAGATAAAAACAAAGCAAAATTAACTCATTACCTAATGAAATTCAGGCTGGAGAAAAAGCATAGGTAATAGGTATCTATTTCAAATTAGAATGAAAGATTAAAATCAACCTGACCAGGCCTTACGGTCTGACCTGGTCCTAACCACCTAACTTCGCCTAACTTAACCCAATTCAACCTAGCCTACCACAACACCCTGCAGAGGTACCTTCCTGGAAAAATGACGCCCAGGGAGGTGACTGTCCAACTTATTGGAATACTACCATGATTGCTTGTCAAAATGTGTGTCATCATGCTCTTGTTTGACAAGTGATGTATAATAAATCGGATATTCAATAATTATTTTATTATTTATTTATTTTTCGGTTCACCCGACAACCACAACCAAGTGGGCATATCTCCTGACTGTTGACTGTTGAGTGATCAAAATATTCAAATAATCAGGGTATAATGCTGTGCATAGTGCACACTAATCATGTTGTTTTTGTGTAGGCCCTCTGCACATTGTTGTGTGCACTGCTATGTGCACCTTAAGTAAAAAAGTGACTGGTGGACGGTGGTACATGACAAAAGGTTGTGCAACTGTGAAGTTCATGCCCTTGGTCTTGCTGGTGCCAAATGCCTATAGCTATAGCAATATCAGTGAGGGTTGTAGACATGCTACATACATTGTGCATTGAAGATATTGGCACAAAGTTCATCCGTAATTACTATGCTTAACACCTAATGTAAGAAGCGACATAAATGCTCAGATGATAAAGCTCTCTGGTCAGCATCACACAAATTTATTGACATACTTTGCAGGTACATATTTACATTCATGGCAAATACTTTCAATTTGATTCAGAAACTAGTTGCTAGTAAGCTTGCATTTTTGTAGGTACAACAACGACCATATATTAAATCATAAAAAACCTTCTAATGGCATTCATCACATACCTTTTTACCGAACAAGTACCTAGCTACCATGCAATGATTCTAAAATTTGTCCGCAATCCATCTATATCTCAACTGACACAATGAATTTGAAATACCCTGACAAAATCTATAACTGTACATAAGAAGAATGCAATGCTACAAGAACTATGAATTTCTGAAGTTATTCTCACATGCTGGAATGTTGAAACTCTATTTTTGTCGTCCATTTCCACGTTTGATTGCGCCATCATATAGAACTGTTTTCGTTCTTCAGTCACAAGCTTTCGCACAAATCTTGAATTTTTACACATCATCTTGAACCATGCTCCAGTCTTTCCAACAAGGTACTATGTAACATCAAAGCAATTTTGATTTGTTACAACAGCTTCAGATCATGACAGGCTTGAGGTTTGTTACACCATTTGCCAGACAAATCTCTACAAAATGTGTATCGATTCCCAAACTAAGCAATTGATCATATCAGTATTTGCAGTTTCCACACAATGTTTCATAATACTATTCTATGTTTATATAAAGAAACTCAAATAATCCAAAATTGTTATTAAAACACTCCCACTTCAAGAATTCACAGCAATAACAGTACGAGTTCAGAAGCAAACAAACATTGCGCCAGATTTCGTATGAAACGCGCCATCGTCCTGAAGTTTCTACCACAGACGGTAGTTTAACCGCAGCCGTAGTGCAAAAATCCCTGCCCACCTTACCCCACGGCGGAGCTCGGTTGCAATTTGTAAATACGCGTCCCGACCACATATAGTAGGTTTTCTAGTAGTTATACTAGAAATTCCTACCAAAGTTCGTCCTACCCTTCACTCAATATACCCTGGGTTATGCTGCATTGATTTGGCATCGTGTGTATTTTGTTTTTACTCTAGGCCAAAAAAGGTCAAGTCACCCGCTCAGCTTAAGTGACAATGCTTAAAACTTTTTTTAAGTTAGAGCACTTGACATGACCTGATGACCTTGCTTTTAGCGACTTTGGTTTGCATTTTTAGAGCACGTGTAAGAGCAATGTACCAAAAGGTGTGCCCCTCCCGCTCACCCACTTCCCTCTCTCCCCCAGGAAAAAAAAAACGGAAGCTCGTAACGTAGTGGCACCTTTTTCGGACCTTTTTTAACCGCATGTCTGAA